TAGCCATGATAACCAGACTGCACGACCATCGCAGTAAAGTGGATCCAGGTGGACCGGACGAGGAACTTTGCAGAACCTTCAGGAACCCAGCAGGTCCAAACTGGAGCCGCTGCTGTTCTCTAACCTAACCAGCCAATCAGATTGTCCTAAAAGCACGAGTTCTTCTGATTGGTCGGTTCTACGAAGCCTGCTTAAGTATTTTTAAACTTTCTGATTTAGTCATGTGACCTTTCAAACAAAGTATAGCAAGTATAGCAGGCCACGTGGGCCTCTCGCTCTGATTGGCTGGTTTGTAGTTGTGGGTGGAGCATGCATCTGAGCACTGGTTTGTTTCTTTTCTGTCTCTGAATGAAAGCACTGATAGCACCGCCCATCTGCTCAGCACTGTTTTAGGAATGTAACGCGCCTTCCTGCGGTTGTGCGCCGGTGCGTTTGTTTCCGTCGTCTGGCTCGCCCTGCGTTCGCTCCCTCGCTCTGCACAGAACTGTAAATCTACGATATGCAAACAGCGTCTGAGCGCGTAGCTCCTCTGGTCTCAGTTCGTCATGCAGCATGGCGCCGTCTCTGCAGGGGACGAACGCTCACCAGGCGAGGCTGCTCGGTACGCCTCTACTGTCCAGGTATTTCCACCAGTTAAAATATGAGTCTGAGCTTGCAAAGCATTCTGGGAACCGTAGGCAGTCACATTTGGTACAAGCAAAGTGGATTAATCACACATGGAGGATAAACGATTCCTAATCATCTGTTAGAGTTGACTCTAAAGTTCAGACCTGCACTGAGAACATGTTCACTACAAGTGTGCGCTCAAACTGAACAGCAGCTCCTCCCAACATCGTTCATTTCTTTCTTTCAAAGACTTTATCAAACACACTCATTCCTGATTATTATTACCAGTCTGACTGACTCAGTGGAGCTTTTTTTAAATCTGTCGCTCTTCTGTTACGGTTGAAGCTTTTTGCAGATCCACATGTTTCTTCTGGGGGGACACAGACCCCTTTTCACCAGTGTTTTAAAATTATGTCCAGTGGAAGCAGAACTTTAGCAGAAACATGAACTTGGGTGTAGCCTGCCGAGCATTCAGAGTGTGTGACGGCATCTGAAGGTGGAACAAAGTCCTTGAAATTCTTGGCAATAATGTCCCGAGAGCGTCCACGCTTCCTGTCCCGGGCGAGCAGCGATCACGCTGAACTCTTCGCGCATTCAGGGCGTCTGATTCAAACCAGGGATTTTTACACCACCGGTGAACCAAACGCTTGCGTTCTGCAGCTGACGAGCCTGGATGCACTGTGCTGTGTAACCACGTTGGTATTTTTAAATGTCTTTTTTCACTTACTTTGCTCTTTTGAGGGTTTTTGCACAGAAACTGAGGACTCCACTGAGGATGTTGATGTGTTGCTCACAGGGCTATCTTAGTGCCATTTGACTGTTCATGCCAAAAAAATAAACCGTAGTCTGTGCTGAGCTCCTGAGTGAAGACAGTCGGATGCAGTTATTTAAAGAGCTGAGAGCAGCTGAAGCTTCAGGTTACAGGCAGCTGCTGACTGCAGCGTTTAAAGGGGATCCGTTCTTATCGTTTCCACCTCTGCACTTTGTCAGAGTAGCTTTTCATGATTCACACCTTAAATTAATCCAAATTTCTGTAATGCAATCAAAGCTTCACCTCACAAAGCTTGACGTTAGCTTAGAGGCATCTCCACGGTGCAGTTAGCTTCGGGGTGCAGAGTCAGTTTGGAGTTTGTGGGATTACTTCGCTCATAATTTAGCAAAGTCTCTGCTCCTGTTAGCTAGCTGCCTTAAAGTCAGCTGATGTGAAAGGTTTGTGGTGTATATGCGTTTGGAAGTTTGGCCATGTTAAATATGAATATTATAAAATTGTAAAATCAAAACTCTTGGTGCTCAGCAGCCATCTTGGTAATTGAAAGTGTTTATTTCTCCAGGTTACGCTAACTTTAAGACCCTAATTTCATGAAATTGGGTGATTACATGTACTTTTACCCAAACAGGTAAAAGGTCTCTGTCAGCACAGCTGGTGGTCCAGGTGGAAAAAGCTTCAAGTGTTATTTTGGGTCAGCACAGGCCAACATGAAGCGGTCCCCTTTAAAGCCAATCAGCCAATCAGACATCCTCAGTGGGGTTACATTCATACTGAACCTGTGTAAAAGATTTCATTTTCTCTTATTATGAATGATTTAATCATTTCTTTTTGCTTTTCACCTGTAATCTGTGGTCATTTGAACATTTAATTATTAACGTTGCTGCGTGGCGTGGAAGCCTCCGCGCTGACTGATGATTTTTATGATTCGATGGATGATCTCTCACCTGTTGGACAACTTCCTGTTTCCTGTTGGACAGGTTCAGGTTGTTACAGCCAGTGGAGCTCAAACTTGTGCTGCTTGCTGTGAAAACCAAACCTGGAAGAATAAAGGTCCTTCAGCTGAACATGATAATTTAATAAACTCTGTTCATACAGACTGTGATTTGTTTGCTTTCAGACTTAATAAAGGTGCACAGAAAATAGTTTGTCAGGATTCAGGTTCCCGTTTGTGGCGACATCCATTTAATATACAGAAAAGCACTCACAGCCTGACTGCAGTCGTTGTCACACTTTCAATTTGAAAAAATCTTTTTGAAATTCAAAGTTGTTTTGTTTTAGAATTGTACAGCTTTTTTAAAAATATATTTAGGGCCAAAAGGGTTTTTTAATGTCCTGATACAATAACTGTATTTTAAAATAGTTTTGTGGAGTTGGGGCATTAAAATAAAATCAAGCCCTACTTTTTTTCTATTTTTTAAACTGTTATTTTAGACTTAAGTTGTTGTTATTTTTACTGAAATATATATTTAAAAAAATACTGTTGAACGACTTTTTCACAACAAACATTTAAATGAGTATAAAAAAAGATTCCTTGTTAGTGTATTTGTTTAGTTCCGTTTGTAGTTTTTCTACAGCGGGACCACGCCCCTTTCATTGTACGTGGTGACGTCAGCGCGGGCTCTGCTCCTGTGCTCAACACATCGAGCTGTCATCATTTTACCGGGAGAAGCGAAGGGCATCCGGGATACCGGCCGAGAGGGGGCCCAGCACTGTGTTTGGAGGTCAGTACCGGGCATTTAGGGTGGACGCTGGCCGTGAGCGGGGACTCGGTCCGACCTGCGGGCTCACTCGGGGGCGGGTTCCGGTTTTGATTCGTGGAAAATGAAAACCGTTTGGACGAATGCGAAGATGCCTTGTTAGCCTGCTAGCCGCGTGCTAGCTGCTACGGCCTTTTAAAGTAACATTTGGAGCGAGGCCGTCCGTTTAAAGGCTCCATAAGCGGAGCAAACGCTTCCACTGAATGCAAACACAGAAACTTATTCAGAATGAAACTGCTAATAGCTGTTAATTTAAAGCAGGGGCGTTTTGTGAAGCTAATCAGCTAATTATATAACGCGCCGCGTTAGCGCTGAAGCTAAGCGTGCAGCTAAGAGTTTGCGCAGTGAGAGCCGCTCCGTGTGGCTTCACACACAGCGGGTTTTAGCCATTATGCATTCAAAACAGATGATTTTACGATGTCTGGGGAACACGGGCAGGCATTTTCGGGAACTCATGACTCGTGAAAGGACAAAGTGATCGAATGTCCGGGTGGCCAATAGAGAAGTCTGGATTTCTCACAGGCAGCCAGTCAGGAGGCGCGGTAGGCAGGTAGTGGGCGGGTCCAGGCAGGGTTAAGGGGAAGGAGAGCAGGCTGGGAGTGGAGCCCCAACAAGGTCAAAACAAAGCAGAAAGTCCCGGTGTGGGGCGAGAGCAGGCCCGTGGGGGCTGGGAGGTGACCCCGCCCCCCAGAACGACACGGTTCCGGTTCTGTAACTGGGTTCTGAGAAGAGCTTGGAGAACTTTAACTCCCTGAGTTCTGTGAAGATCTGCAGAAGACTTCAGACTTGACCCTGTTCGCTGAGTCAGCACCGGTCAGAAGTATAAACACCCAGTGTGACGCTGATCTCTGATCAGCAGTCTGCGGGTTTCCAGCATCTGTGCAGCTGTTTTAGGAAACGGCAGGAACAATATGACCTGCGTGAGTTACAGCTCGCTGTTTTGCAAGTTGAAATAAAAGGCAACATGGTAACACCAGTTTAAAGGATTCCCACCAATCCAGAAAACTGCTGGGAGTCACATGACCAAAGAATTGAGATGTTCAACTTGCGAAGAAGAAAAACTCCCAGGATTGTAATAAATATACTTTAATTAGTTTGGTTTAACTATCTCAGGCAGAAAACGTATTTTGTTTTTCACAAGGTCATAGAAACAGGAAGTGCAGACTCACATTCACACTCTGCTCCATTTTGAGCAGGACAAACCCTGCTGACCTTGCAGGACCTCTCTCAGGCCTGTTTTGTGGTGGAGTACCTATACGAGGTGAGGTACTTTGCTCTGGGGCGGGTATTGTTTGAGATATGAGCTCAGCAGTCACCAACACAGCCTACTGATCAATCAGATTTCTGGAAAAGAGCGTCACCCTTACTGGAAGATCCTCTGTGTAGACAGTCAGAGGGTCTGAAGGTGTTCTCTTTATCTGATGAGCATCAGGAAGAAACTCAGGAGGAGCTCTGCTGCTGCGTCCTGACCTCATCGACATGTAAACTCTTTGTCCTCTCAGAGCATTTAATGCCAAAACTAAAGATTTTTAATTACCACGAGAGTAGCGAGAGGGTTTTAATCACAGGCGTCTGTTTTACTGGTTTCCTTCCTGCTTTGGATAAACTTTATTAATCCAGCAGCTGTTTTCCAGTCTGACTGAGCAAAGCTCACACATTCATGCAGTTTTTAGGCCTTTACTCTCTCACACACGCATGTGCATGTTTCTGATTGGTCAGAGGCTCCAAACTGTGCCTCTTTCATGTGAGCACTGATAAACCTGTCATGTGACCCCACCCAGTGTGATTGATAGCGAGTGAAGCCAGACATGGAAAGATATCCTGGATACGCTGACCGTCATACAGGCTCCGTGTTGGTTGGTGAAATTTAAAACACCAGCTAAAAGTCAGACGTGGTGTGAGGAGGCTGTGCCGTTTTTATCAGTAATCAAACGGTAGTCGTTATTTCTGCAGTGTGTTGTTCTGCTGTGCTTCACAGAATTTCCTCGAATCAGGAACTTTAGACCTTTAAAGGAAAAAAAATCAGAGGCAGAAACCTCGGTGTTCTCGTAGTGTCACAGTGTTTACCTGGAGAAGGGTGAGATGGCACGTCTTGTGTGTGAAAACAGCAGGTGTGTTTTTGAATAAACTTTATTGCAGGGGAACAAGGTGTGTTTGTTTTCCTTCTGCAAGTGTAGTCATGTGACTGGGCGGGCTCAGACAGCCACCTGCACAGAAAGTAAAAGCGTGCGATGCACCGATCTTACAGGTCGTTCCTGGAGTGCGAGTCTGACAACTGCTGTCTGTAAATCTGAACGTTAGCATCTTTAAATCCACCGTGCCGCATTTCTGAGGACGCCGTTTGTCAGGCGCCGCAGATCAGCCTCTGACATCGTGCTCCTCTGCAAACAGCAGCTTGAGTCGGCGCTCGCAGCGTTATTAGAAGCTCGTCAGACAGAAACCGCCGTCGTTAAATCCTAGAGCACAGCTCTCTCTCACATCTGAATAAAGGTGACTGTGGTCTGGAGAACAGGGGCTAATTCTCTCTCTTCTTCTCTCAGAGGACTGACGTGGACGTCTGACTGCTTCCTGTTGTGGCCCTGACCTGCGTTTTTCTTCTGCATCGTTGTGAGGTCGAGGACGTCCGGACTGTCGGACCGAAAGTCACCGCCGTGTGTGATACTTTAAGGACTGCTCATGCATCGTTTAAGGACTTGTGCGGCGCGGTTGCGTCCGCTCACCGCCTCGCAGGCGGCTCAGACTGTCGGCCAACAGCGGCCAATCACAGTCACCTCCACGGGTGGCAAAAGGACGTTTCAGCCAATCAGGTGTTACACAGCACCGGTGGCTTCGGAGCCGTTCCTGAATGGGACGAGCTCCAACTATGTGGAGGAGATGTACTACGCCTGGTTGGAAAATCCCAAGAGTGTTCATAAGGTAAGGAGCAGTGGAGCCCCTGCAGGTGTGGAGGGGTCAGTGCAGAGGTCGGTTTGATTTTACTGCTGGCAGCATCGATGCAGGACAAACCCTCCACAGTGTAATGGGACATAAACCCAGACAATCAGAAGTTAAAGGTTTGGTGATTTTGAACACATAAAAGCACCTGCACCATTTCCACAGTATTGATAGATTCCACAGACAGAAAGTCACCAGACTTCTTTCAGTTGGTGAAGAGTTTTCATCCGAGAGTCCCACAAATTTAAACCCTAGTGGGAGTGTCCTTTAAGAGGGTCGTTGACCCACTGTTGAGCATGTGCCTCATCCCCTGAGCCGAGGTGTGGAAAAGGGTGTGGGTCACTATCAGCAGAGGTTTCGGGTGAAACCATTGTGAGGCCCACGTCTTTCAAAATGAGGAAGATAAAAGTTTAGTGTCCTCTAGCAGCCCCGGGTCAGACAGTTTTAGGTGCTCATGTACAGTTTTATATTTTTAAATATTAATATGATGTTTTATTTCACTTGAAATGTAAAAAATAATGTTCTGAAATAAAGGTAGAAAGTGTCAGTCTGCCGTCGTCCTGACTGAAACAAACAGCTGATACTTTCACTGCACATTTGTCTCAGTGTAAAACAAGCAGCTCTGTTTTTAGTGGCTAATGTGGAGGAACTGCTCGTGTTTACTGAGCCGTGCAGTAAACAAAGCATTTAAAGAATTAGCATGAAGCATTTTTAGAAATGCTTTCTTCTGATTGGCTGGATTCTGGAAGTATGGAGAAGGGCAACAACCACTCTGAGCGGGTTGTACGGTTTTTGTCAAAGATCACCGTATAAGGAGATCTGTGACGAGCTGATGTCAGCACGAGTAGAAACAAGTGAAAGTGAATGTGTAGGGCGGGCTCGACAGGAAAAACTGCATCGTTAGCTCGCCGCTATTCGCATCATGTCGCTAAACAACTGAACGCTCGGGAAACGTTGGCCAAACCAGCAGTGGCACATTTCTTTATTTTCTCCCCGTACTTCATTTCCTGAGGGTTCGATGATAAACATGATGAAATGTGAGAAATGAGCAGAAGATTAAAATGTGATTGGCTGAAAACTGAAGAGAAGGGCGGGGTTAGTGAGTGTGACACTCTGGACGGGACCTTTAAAGAACACACCGTGCTTCCTTGTTAGTGACAAACATGGCTCGTCGTGTCGTGACGCACGGCGGTGGCGTTCACTGCTCCAAGAAACATGAACCACAGCGTTGGTGATTCTCGTGGTCACGTCGTGTGCCACCGCTGTGTTAAATTACACATGTGCACACGCTTCTGATTGGCTGGTTCAGCCTGCAGTGAATCATCTCCTCCATGTTGTCGTGCAGCTGGTCCTGGTTCTGCTCGGGGACCCGTCCACCTCTGACGAAAAGCTGTTGCAAGATATCAAGGACACGAGGAACATGATACAGGAAGTGTGGGGCCCGCTGGTTAGCAGTAACAGAACTCTTTCAAAATAAGAGTGAAGCAAGTGTTTAGTGGGGAAACTCTCGAGGCTTCGATGAGTCAGATTAAACAAAAAAAAGCTCAGATGAGTGTCGTGTGCACAAAAAGCTGCTGTGGGAAACAGTGGTGTGCATCTGTTTGTAATGATATGATGTGTGTGTGTGTGCAAAAGTCTTGAGCCACTCATTTCTTTGTATTTTGTTTCCAAGGAGGCAGACGTTCTTTAAAGTGCTCTTGAGCAGCAACTCTCCAGGTTTCTGAAGCTCTTTGTTGTTGGACACTAGTGTGCTGTAGTGTGTTAGTGAAATGAGGCAAACTCAGAATAATAATATGTGAAGAATCACACAGAAGGTTTTCCTGCACAACAGGAACACGCTGCTGACATCTGGGATGAAGGACGAGCATTAAAATGTGTTTGCAGGCGTTTCCTCGTGTCCACATTCTGAAACACATTACAGCCGCACTGACATGTTCAGTGTGCTCTGAGCACATGTGACCAGTCATGTGACAACATCCTGTTCAAGAGTAGCAGCTGTGTCAGGACGGTGCTTTTAAGGGTTTAAAGCAGGGGTAGGCAACTCCAGGCCTCGAGGGCCGGTGTCCTGCAGGTTTTAGATCTCACCCTGGGTCAACACACCTGAATCAAAGGATTAGTTCATTAGCAGGCCTCTGGACAACTTCAAGAAATGTTGAGGAGTCATTTAGCCCTTTAAATCAGCTGTGATGGATCATGGACACATCTAAAACCTGCAGGACACCGGCCCTCGAGGCCTGGAGTTGCCCACCCCTGGTTTAAAGGGTCCGTTAGTGCTTAGAAAGTCTGAAATAAGCTCTGTGGAGACACATGGAGACGGTGCGTTTCATTCATTTTAGCAGCAAAAACAAATAAGTACAGTATACCATCAGCGTTATGTAACAGCAGTGGTTCATCGGGATAATCAGTGACGTGGACTGTAGACTACAGCAGCCTGTGGGTGCAGTGTCACCTGTGTCACCTGTGTCACCTGCCAAGACTCGATACTAAGAGGAGCGTAGCGCGAACGGCGAAGCAGTTGGATGGAAGAAAACTGAGTCAGAGATTTAAAAGTGAAAGAATTTCACAGGAAACTGAAGATAAATCTGCATGTAAAGCTCCTGTGATGTCCCCTCTGAGTGGGAGAGTCACGTTCACGTATGTTAGCTAACCTGTCATGACGCTCGCTAAGCTAACATCACAGTTTTGTTAGCTAACGAGTGAAATGTGATGTAAACCTCGCCTCTGTCAGTGCGCCCCAGGGCAGCTGTGGCTGCAGCGTAGCTGCCATCACCAGTGTGTGAATGTGTGTGAGTGTGTGTGTGTGTGGCTGATGTAGTGTAAAGCGCTTTACAAATACAGCAGCAGATACAGTCTGCTGCTTTATTTGGTCTGCTCACATTAATATTAGAGTTTAGATGTTAGGAGGTAACCTGTGGGTGGGACCGTATCAATAATAATTACACATGTAATCACTTAAACACTGCACTACCAAATCGGTGCTCGGTAACATTTCTATTCTGGTTCTGTTTGTTCCGGATCACCAGTATTAAAGATGCACCGATGACTCTGTCCTGTACAGAGCAGGTTATCATCAGCATCCAGAGCGTGTCCACAGAATCATCTTAAACTTTGGAAAATCATTTTGACCTCAGGAAGCACAGACGAGAGTTATGGAAACAATCAACAGAAAGAAAAATTGGCAGATGAGTCGACGACCAAAAGGATCTGTAGTTGCAGCTCTAATCGGCTTGATAAAATATTAACCTCCTGACCTGACGTCCATTATTATTTACACCAAAATACTAAATCTTGCTCTGTAAGGGCCTGATGTCCACTTACGAGGACATTATGCTGCAACTGGTGGTGGTCAGAGGGCACCAGTGTCAGCAGCCTCGCCTCTGTCAATGCGCCCCAGGGCAGCTGTGGCTACAATGTAGCTGCATCACCAGTGTGTGAATGTGTGGATGACTGGATGTGTAAAGCGCTACACAAATACAGGTCATTTACCAACTGTTCTCTTGAAATGTTAAATGAATATCCTCATATGTTGCTCTCATTTTTCTCATAAACAAAAATTAGGTAAAAGAAAAATCTGGTAATTCTTTGTTTTTACATTCATCAGGTCCTAACCAGCCCAAATATCAAAGAGAAATTAAAATGCATGCCATGGAAGAGTTCAGGTTAAATTAGGTCCCTGTTTATGATTCAAATGTCCAACATGAGACCTAAAATCTAAAACCAGGCATGTGATGTAGGCAGAGCAGCATCGCGGCGTCTGTCGGGGAGCGGTGCTGCGTGTGGAGCTCACAGCTCTCGAGTCTTTCTTCTTTAAAAAGCTGTAAATGAGTCTTTTTTTCATTTTTCTGTTATTCGTCTTCAAACGGGCTCTGGGGTCGTGAAGGTGACGTGGCTGTGACAGCGTTTGTTTTGGTGAGCTCTCTGACCGGGCGCTAAAGGACAGCCAGCTAATAATAGCTCCCAGAAGAGTCACGTGACAGGCCGACTTCAGGGCCGGCAGTGAGAATGAGAGGCCCTCTGGCTTCGATCAATTCTTTAGTGACTTTAAACGAGTCCGATTAACGAAGGCCGATTTAAAAACAGGAAGTACTTTGAAGGCGTTAACCTAAACAACGAGAGGATCATCTGTCAGAGGCGCAGCGTTCGATCAGAGCTCCACCCACACCGACAACCCTCCCCCCCCACACACACGTATTCTCGTTTTGAAAGTGAGGACATCTAATTGACATCATCTCTTCCCAGTTGCTAACCCTCAGCTGAACCGTAACGCTGACACTGAAACCACATTTTGAGCCTCAAACTGGGGACGGACGCTTTGTCCCCACAAGTGACTGTTGGTCCCCACAAAGATATCTAAACAGGTACACACACTCCTCTTGGTACAGAGTGTGTGTGTGTGTGTGTGTGTGTGTGTCATCTGTTATGTAACGACCTGACACCGTGACCTTGCTGTTATTAGCTTAGCCTGCCAGCTGGACACAGGAAGTAAAGTGTTTGTGGGGCGGGAGCTTGCTGACGCAGAACAGCTGAGATGTGTAAACGTAAGCCGGGACCTGGACGCGCTCCAGCTTGTGACTCAGCAGGAGTAACCCGCTGTGATGGCTTTAAAGCTTCCTGTGTGACTTCGTCAGTCTCACGCTGTGGAGGAGTCTGGTGTGTGCGTTTGGTCACCACGGAAACGGCGTGATGTAGAGCAGAGCTCATTAAGGCCCTCTGACCTCCTGATGGTGAAACGGCGTGCCCTCAGATTTCCTCTTCCTTCATCGAAGCTTTGAGCGTCTCTGAGGTCAAACGCCATAAATAATGCTGCGTCCATGTTTGACTCAGCACTGGTTAGCTGTTCTGACTCCACCCACCACAGGAAGTTCTCTCACACACAGCAACAGCAGGCGCTGAGGTGCCTTCAGTGCAGTAAGATCAGGATTTCTGATGTTCGTGGCATCATCAACATCTTTCTCTTCTTCCTCTCCTGCAGTCGTGGGATGTGTTTTTCCGGAACGCCAACGCTGGCGCTCCTCCCGGCGCCGCCTACCAGTCTCCTCTGGGGCTGTCTGCGGCGTCCAGCCTCGTCGCCCCCCAGCTCTCCTCTCTGGTCGGAGCTCAGCCCAACGTGGAGAAGCTGGTGGAGGATCACCTGGCTGTGCAGTCGCTCATCAGGGCCTACCAGGTACACACACACAAACATGATCAATACATCCATGAGATTATTGAAAAGCCTGTGTTTGTCAGTGACCTCTGACCTTTGGCTACTGATCGAGTGAAGCCTGTGCTGTAAAATATTTTCCTGTTTGTTCACCTGCTTATTGATGGCTGCTGTTTGTTGATGGAGACGTTGGTGAGTTTAGGTCTTCACAGGTCACACAAACTCTGATCAATAATTGATGATCAGAATCCATCAGAGCCGAGTGTAGACGACATCCACAGTAGGGCTGGTCTAAAATCCATATCACGGTGTAATTTGAAACATGTGCTTAAAGGATTTTAAGGCACACTTAACTGTGAGCCTTATGTATGAATTCTGGTTGTGTTTACTGACCTCGAACCGATTTTATGTGCTACACGGCGCTCAAACATCTGTCAAAAATGTTTTAGTGCGACTTTGCTTCAGGTCCCAAAGTCAAACGAACACTGAGAGTTAAAAACTGTCTCAATTCTTTAATCTTTAATAAAACGATCAGCGTTGCTGCTTTACCAAAGTTTAACATCCAGGCATCCATGAAAACAGGATTTATTACATTTAACAGAGTTAGAAGTTAGCAGGAAGTTAGCTCGCTAGCTTCCAGCTAAACATGATATAGCATGAAACATTCAAACGTACAGCTCTGCTATCACTTCCAACATAAATGAAGACAGAAAACTAAACAGCAGTGACGTTTGTAGGGTTACTGAAGTTGGACTAGCTGCTATATAATGATGTGCTACATGATCGCTAGTGACACAGCTATGTTAGCATAGCATAAACAGTGAAGCTGGAGGATGAACGCTAACTTTGTTCCACTTGATAAAAGTTAACGTGAGAGATTCTGGTGGTCAGGGACAAATGCAATCGCATAGCAGGATGCTGTACACGGGCCAAACTTCATTCAGGAGAACAACTGAGATAATCCATCCACAATACGAGGTTAGTCATTAATATACTGCAACAACACGGGAACAGAGCAGCTGCAGAGGATTCAGCATTAATGAATCAATGGTACAGAAGTGGAGGAAGCGCAGTTTTTGGCTTTCCCCATATTCCCAAATTGAATCGTCTCTTTGCTGTTTCTGTCGCCTGGCATAATTTGCAGATGATGTTGTTTGCAGCCGCTGCAGTGCTTTCAACCAAAACAGGCGCCGCTTGATGACATCATCAACATGGCCAAATTTATATAGTTTCTACCGTATACCGTTTATACCGCCCACCCCTAATCCACAGTATCACACAGTGGGCGGGATCTCTGTGGGCCGGTGCCGCCGCAGGGTCAGCGAAGGGTTTCCACAGTAACCCAGACTAGCGCGCTGAAGCGCTTCAGGGTCATCTTTAACTCAGAGTTCAAAGTTCAAAGTGACTCTGCAGCAACAGGAAGTGCAGCCGGCTGGATTAAAGCCCGACCCTGACGTGACGCTGTCATAAGGACCTGTGAGGGCCTGAGCTTCCTGTTGTGGTGTGTGTGTGTGTTCAGGTGATGGGTCATCACAATGCCCACCTGGATCCACTGGGAATCAGCTGTGTCAATTTTGATGACGCTCCGGTGAATGCCGGCTTCCAGGATGTCGGTGAGAGCGCCGCAACTAAACCACCAAACAGACCGTGATGTTAACTTTGCTTTTCCCTCCCACCCGCCCTCTCTCCTCCTCCTCCCTCTCTCCTCCTCCTCCTCTCTCCTCCTCCTCCGCTCTAACACTTCCTGTTTTTCCTAACTTTCCAACGTTTCTCCCATTTCTGATTTCTTCCCTCCATCCTGCTTCTCATCTGCTCCGCTCTTCATCCTCTGTCTGTTATTTGGTTGTCTCTCCTCCTCCTCCTCCTTCATCTCACCCTGTTCTCACCCCCCCCTTCCTGCCCTGGGTGGGCTCTGTGCTGTTGTCACTTCCTGTAGATCCGAGGGCACCACGTGGCCCAGTTGGACCCCCTCGGCATCATGGACGCTGATCTGGACTCGTGTGTCCCCACTGACATTATCACGTCCTCCGACAAGCTGGGTGAGGAGCCGACCCTCAGAAATCGACCTCGTCTTCGTGTGTTCAGCGCTCGTTGGCTGGAGGAGTCTCTGAAACGTTATCGTACAGCAGAAGAAACTCTTCTGCTGTACGATAACGTTCTGTTTTTGAATTGAGCTGTTTCAGGATTTTATTCTCTGTCTAAACCGAATCGTTCTTCCTCATCTAACATCTGAACCTTCGTTCTGTGATGAAGGTCCGAGAATTAACCTCAAGTCATTTCAGTGTTTCCCACACAGACGTGAGGAGAGACCGCACGGCTGTGCTGACGTGAACATTAGTGCCAGTTTCTTCATTACAGTCTGGATCATCAGATGTTTGCATGCAGACACTTGTGATCATTTAATTTCATTTAACAAACTAAACTTTATATTTTTGTTATTTTACTTTAAATATGATATTTTAATTAAAACAAAGAGTTTAAGGCTGTAAACCCTCAAACACGGGTTCTGATCATGTGGTTCACAGTGAGGCTGCAGCGCTGTTATCAGATCAGAGGTTCAGTCCTGCGTCTGTGTAAACTCGTGGTGGTGTGCAGTCGCAGTCTCTCCTCCACGCTCTGTTAAAGTGCGGAAACACTGAAAACATCCACCCAATCCTAATCCCGACTTTAAAATCTGGATGATTCTCTGAGATGTAAACAGCCTGACTGAAGGTGTTTTTAATGAAAGGGGAACGTCCGTTTTCGGTGATTACATCCCCGCTGAGGACCGAAAGCTTTCTCAGAGCCTCTGTAGAAAGCGTCCTGATTCGGTGTGGCTCCAGGAGGCCTGGCGGTGACCGGCTTCACTGCCTCAGACCTCACGCTCAGACTCGGAGCTCCTCTCCGCTGGAAAACACGATCAGCATTAGTGATGAAGCCTTTAATGAGTCCGTTTCTGTTGGACGCGAGTCGCCCATCGTTGACTCCACGTGGAGTCGTAGAATATCTGGAACTGTGGCGCAGCTTTTACTTTGAAGGGCAGCATTCTCGGTTTCCTGTTTGGGCCGCAGCGATCTGCTGGTGACCAGAACAATCAGCGGTCTGCTCGCGCTCGCGTCGTTTAGACTCACCACAGCGGGCCGTGTAGAAACGGCGTGGATGATGTTTATTAAAGCTTCTGACTCAAACCGAGCGACCCGCGATCCGTCCGAGCGTTTCATCCACGCACGCGTTCACGGAGCCCAGTGTGAACACGAGACCTGACAAAGATCGCAGAATCTTTCTGAAGGTGAAAAATGCGGCGTCGGCGTCTCTGGGCAGCGGCGGGCAGTTTAGCTTCGGCTGCGTGACGCTGGGCTGTGCACCACGTTAGCCAGAGCGCTCCTCCACTGCTAATCCTGCTCAGATCTTTTCCTTTTGGACCTGAAACCTCGCCACGATGATGTCATTTAATCAGCTGACAGTTTACATCATCTGTACCGTGAGTCTAAGACTCCGTCTCAGAGCTCTTCCTCGTCTTCCTCGTCTTCCTCTCAGGACAATTGTTAACAGCAGTCCTGGTTCCAGGTGCTTTTAAACCACCACAGAGGAAGACGAGGATAAAGCAGTACTTCCTGTTTGTTCGCAGTCTGAATGTTGCTAACGGCTCATTAACGTTCAGCTTCGGCTTCAATCTGTGTCGTCAGAAACAGGAAACAGGAAGTCAAAGATCAAAGGTTTGTGGCTTCGCCTCACTGTCTGCGGCTAAATAAACCCCTGTGACTCCACCCACTGTTACACATCAGGACACGCCCCCTCTCGAGCTGCTCTGTGTGCCATGTTCAGTTTGTTGTATTAGCGCTCCCAGGAAGTAGTCCGTCTGAAGGTGAGCTGAATGGCCTCGGTGTGGGACGGCTGTGGCGACGCTGTTTGACCTCAGCATGGCGCTACATGTGTCTCCTTCTCCACTGCTCCTTCTTCTTCTTCTTCTTTGGTTGCGGGGTCAGACGGTGGTGGAGACGCGAGATGCGGGGCGGCTGCTGCGCTGATGAGGCTGTAGGCCGGTGTGGTGGTGTTGGTGCTGGTGGTGTGGCTGTAGGGTAGAGGGTAAAGGGTAAAGGGGGTTGCAGGTCATTAATGGTGTCCGGGTGTCTCTTCCCTTTGCTGCCCCCTGCTGGCGACCCGTCCAGACGTGGCTGTGTTCAAGGAGAGGCTGCACATTCTCACGGTCGGAGGTACGAGCACCAGCACTGCTGTGAAGTCAGTAGTTGATCTTTAGTGGAGTTTGTCAGTGCAGTAGTTTGAAGGAAACATCTGCAGGAGCTGAAAGCATCAACGCAGCAGACGGCGGGCTCCTGAGCTCCTGCAGAGGGCGCCGCAGCGCCGCGGAGAGATTTCATCTGGTTCAGCATCTGATTCTGTCTTTGTGCAGGAGTTGAAGCACGTTTGTGACCTTGCAGCGGTTTAACCAAACTGGAAGCATGTTCACATGTGCAGCTGCAGTCCTCAGGTCCTCTCACCAGCCCCACGCTCACCTGGCCAGAGTGTACCTGCAGGTCTGTGTTGGCAGTAATGTGCCCCCAGACAAATGTATAAATAATCACATGATTTTAGGGAGGGATATGTCTTCATGAAGCAGAGTATAAACTGTAATTTTATGTCTCACTTTCACCTGCTGCTGTAGTTTCATTAATGTGACATCAGTTAGTTTTGATTTTTAGAAAGAGAGCGAGCATCAACAGGTGAGACGGGAAAATAAAAACCGTGCAGATGGTCACGCCGGCAGCATCGTCTCAGAGACTCTGCTGCTTCTTTGCTCCTGTGGATTCTGTCTCAGTGGGCTGAACCACGGTGAAATCTCCCTGTAGCCTGAGCAGCACACAGGAAACACTGAGAGGAAGTTCATCCCGTCTGACTCGACAGGCTCCGCCTCCTCTCAGGGTCCCCTGTGCTCAGCTTTGTTAGCTGCTGCTAGCGTGCTGACCCCCGCTCTGTCCCACAGTTCACCGTTATGTTCGTTAGTGTCTGGGCCTGACTCTGAATGTGCTCTGAACTATGGCTTGATGCATGCTCCATCATCCAGGTAAGGAAATCCCAAAAGGTTGTCCTCAGATGCAGACGTGTCCACGTGGATTAAACTTATTTATATACTGGTTATTAATAAAATCAGGCTGTTGTTACTGGGCAGCTCCTCCCTGATGTCACTGTTCACAGTTTAACAGGTAACTGAAGCTCACCTCCTGCACAGACTACAGTAATGTTCAGCGATGCTGAAAATTAAGGCAAACCCTGAAAGAATCAACGCGGTAGTTCCTCCAGCATCCAGCCGGGGCAGCAGCGAGTCAGTCCCAATGTTAAAGGTGTCCAGCAGCCTGAGACACAAACTCTGTGGATAATTGGGTCGGGATGATATTACAGCTCACATTAGCATTAAAGGTTGTTTTTTTAGGGGCGTGGCCTCTTTTTGTAGCTGCTAGGTGTCTGCTAGGCTAATCCATAGCTATCATGTGATGTCAGATCT